CGGAAGGGCGGCGTTTTCAAAACGCCGTCGCTTCCGATAAGCGCCCCCAAACGGGCCCTAAGAGTGAGGTGGCGACTTTTCTTTTAATTTTAGAAAATAACTGAAGTAATTGAATAATACTCATGGTTACAAAGAGACCTATTTATAATATTAGGAAAAAAAAAACCTCGAGTACATTATGTAATTACCAATTTACTCCCATACAGTATTGCGGGGCGTTACTCCTGCACCCTCAACCCACATAACGAAACTCTCCCGATTGTACAAATTCTTCTTATCCGCTTTGCTCAACTTCGTTTCAGCATCTGTACTTTATATGATATATGAGCCATACCACAACGGGAAGAATCAGGCGTTATCACTTATCTGTATAAATAAATTAAAATTACGTACTAAGTGTGTAAATTTCCCAATAAATATCAAATTACAAATGCATCGGTTTTCGAGCGGGAACAACCTGATTCGAAACCCTGTTTTAAATCCCCTCATTGCATCTCCTCACGTGAATCTGACGCCGATGGATAGGATTTACGTCGCAGTTAGGGCTCGGCCCCTTTCGCCGGAAGAATCTAAAACAACCCCTTGGAGGACTTCGTCCAACTCCATCTATCTACACAACCAGCCGACGAAGTTCGAATTTGGTAGGTTTCTCAATCTTCACCCCCCTTTTGATTCATTCAATTGTTTGGAGACGATGCACTCTCCTTTTTAACAGACAGGGTTTTTGGGGAGGATTGCAAGACGGTGGACATTTTTGAGGCCAGAGCGAAGGAGATTGTTGCTTGCGTCGTTCGTGGGTTCAATGGTAAGCCATCACACTAGGAAATCTGTCTCAGGTTTTTCCGATTGGCGTTTTGTTTACGTCAATTTGATGAAATTGTGTTTTATACTGCTGCTTCTTAGTGCAACTGATCTAAGCCCCCCATTGATTTTCTTTCACCTTTTAATGCATACTCGGGCGGGCGATTAATTTTTCTATCTGAAGAAGTGAAAAGTTAAGCTTCTAATGCGCATATAAGCATCTCCAAGCACTTACATCCCTTAAATTGCATTGTGGACATGGAAAACCAAATGTCATGATAGAAATCAATCCACGAAGCGAAAAAAAAAAAAAAAAAACCAATACAAAATCGCCAAACACCCCCAAACACCTCTCACCTATAGCCTCCTTTCCACAGAAAGTGCTCCAATAAGAGGGAAGAGCTGAAAAAAGGCTTAAAACCCAGGAAAACCAGAAACAAATATTCAAAGGGTTCTTACCACTGAAACGATCCGCTTTACCCTTACTCAATTATTGCATGCCGTAAGAGATGAGGCCACAATGGAATTTTTTTTTTCACGTCCAGTTGTCCCTCCACACCCTCAAAATGAAAAATGGTAGCATGCAGATATAAAGGTAGTTTGAAGCGTCATTTAATTAACCCTCACCAACAAAATAAACAAGAAGTAGAGTCCTGTTGTAACCACTTATGTTAGGAATACCTATGGTTGAATAAAATGGAAATAAATAAGGTTGAAGCAGATGAGAGTTGCCAGACAATATAATATTGGAGATGGTTCGAGCAATGAAGACGGGAGGGAGAGAGAGGAGGGAGGGAGGGAGAGAGAGGGAGAGAGAGGGAGGAGGAGCGAGCGATAGCTTATTTTATTTCGCTTAGTTAATTACATTAGGAGAGTTTTGTTCTGGATGTTTAATTCTCATTCATTGTTCTTTTGTAGGCAATGATGGTTCCTAGGTGGCAGAGGGCCTCATTACAACTTTTCATGGGCTGCATTAGAAGATGTTGTGCTTTAAATGACGATGTGGCTGTTAGATCATTAGTGAGTAATATTTGTTTCTACAGTGGCTTTAGAAACTCCACCTCCCTGTTGTTAAAAAATTGGCAAACTATCTAAAGGTGATCATGCATAACCATCTATTGGCTGCTAGGATTTATTACTCGTCTAAGTAGTAGTTTGTTCCTTTTGGGGTTGGCCTCGGTTCTTACATGTTCCCAAGCTTCTAGATGTTTGCTATCCAATTCTTAGGTTGCTAGCTCTGATGTTTCCCTGGTTTCTATTGTTCAATAGTTGTAAGCTTTAACTCCTTCGATTCACTTCTGGACCAAGACTGCCCACACCTTTGATTGCTCAAGTGCTTCAGGTTTGATACATAGGCTTACGTGGATGTGGGATAATGTATAAGACGTGGCTAATTATAGCTGGTATGGTAATTAAATGGTAAGTTTTAAAACACATTTGTAACTTAATGCTTGATCAGATTAAAGATGGTAAATTAGAGGCAGAAGGATTCATACAGAGAGGGATATCCACGGATATATCATTGATTTGCGTAGGCTTACGTGGATGTGGGATAATGTATAAGATGAGGCTAATTATAGCTGGTATAGTAATTAATTGGTAAATTTTAAAACAAATTGGTAACTTAATGCTTGATCAGATTAAAGACGGTAAATTAGAGGGAGAAAGATTCATGCAAAGAGGGATATGCATGGATATATCATTGATTTGCGTAGAATTTGGATAACAAGGATGCAATTTCGTTAGGATTTTAATGCTCAATTAATAAGAATAATGTTAATGATAACATTTAAATAGCAACAACTTAATATTAAAAAAAATATTTTTATATGCATCCGTGAATAAATTTGACATTCTGGACACGTCAAAGTGATCTTGTTTGTAAAATATACTATGGTTGCATAGGTTTGATTGTGATCAAAACCGAGATTCATCTCATGCGAAATTGCATCTCTAATTTTTCTTTAGTGTTGTGGGTTTTTTCTTGATAAATTTGACTCCTTAGGTTTTTTATTGATAAATTTGACTCCTTAGATGCATTAATGCTCTTGATTTCATCAAAATGAGTGATATTTAAGTGATTTTCATAAGAGCTAAATAGTTTGAACTCAGTATGTTTGACATGGCCTTTGTTGTTTGTTGATTTCAGCACAATTGATTGATTTGGATCTTGGAGCAAAAAGGAATAGTAGTAGTAATATCAATACTATTAATAATAATAGTAGTAGTAGTACTAGTAGTAACAATAGTTATTGCGTGCTAGAAAATTTATAATGTTAAAATAAGAGTCTTATGTTTTATCTTTGTATGATGCTTTTAGCTCAGACATTTATGAAAGAAGAGTTTTGTTGAATTCGTTAGAGTTTTTATGCTAAAAAAACCCATAACTGAAAAAATATCGGGGTCCAATTTAGTTGAAATAATTCATTATATACGCGAGGTTATATAAGTTCTCTATTCCCTACAATTGGAAAGGCTTGATTATTAAATTGGGTGGCATTTGTAGGTTCGGCATAAAGGCTAAGCATATAGATATTCATCATTTGCTTGGCTTTACATGTTGGATAGGGTGAAAATTGCTGTTGAATTCGGAATGGTTTCCATTATCTGCCAGGAGCACATTGAAATTAAGAACCAAGTATTCTTCACGTGTACCTTTACATTCAACCATTTTATAAAATGCCTGCCTTGGGGTACTTTTCTCCTTGGACCCAATTTCGCTTTAGTTCTTTTCTTTATTTGTGAAATGAGAAATAAACACAACCAAGAATTATGCATAGATTATTTCTCGCTACTTGCTGTACCATATATGACGTTATATATGACGTGAAAGACATAACAAGATATTTGGAAATACTATCTAAAAATTCTTTGCTTTATGTTACAAAGTTTGGAAAGCAACAAACTCTAACGCTATCTGCTGGAAGAAGTCCTGTGAGATTCTCTTTGTTGGTTCATGATTCTTCTTCAAATTGCTATCTTCTTTTATCACCTAATCACATAAATTATTCGACTTCGGCATTATTGAAGACTCATTTCTCTTATTCATATTTATGGGGTTTGTTTTGCCATACAATGATGAGATGCCTGCTTTTCTGCTGAATAAGTTGGTTCTCTATCTTTTTGATCATTATTACTGCTGCTTCCAGATGGTTTTTAGCCATTGTCAGAGGTGGGCTTGTTAACATATGATATGCTATTCATTTGTCCATTTTGTACCTTGATTTCGGATTTCTTTATCCACACAAGTTCTCTGCATTTACTGTTTGCAATTTACATTTTTTTTTCGTTTTTTTCAGTTCAGTATTCATTCCATAATTGTAATCTTTATTTCTTTCTAATGTAAATGAGAATTTGGTGCCATGTGTAGTGCTAATGAGTAGAGTATTTAAAATTATTTTGGAAGTACAACACATTCATGTATAGACTGTAGTGGTTCAATAATAGATTAGGGTGTAATAATTAATTATTTTTGTTATATTTGTTACTTTTCTATTCATATTTATTTTGTATATCTTTTCTCATTAAGCAAAAGAAAAATTTTCATGAAAGTGCTGTAAACATTTAGTTTATCAAGATGTAGGGTTTTATATTTAGACTTATATTTATATATTAATATACAACATCTAATTTGATAAAATTGGCTGCAATTAAAATCAAAATTTAACACAAGTTTTCATTTATTTTAATTAATGAAATAGTAATTATTTTAAATAATTTTTTAGTATCATTTTTGTTTTTCAATTTTTTTTTTGGATGTTTTAATGTATTTGTTATTATTATTGTTGATTTTTTTAACACGTGATGATTACCTTGGAGAATTTTTGTTACAAGTATATGTTTTGGTTAAATGTCTAGTGCATTTTCATCTTTTGTGCACGGAGAATCTTTGTCCTCATTTTTTGCATAAAGTTTCTATCTTTAGAGCAATAGGATCTCTTCTAGATAGTTTATTTTAGTGATTCGAGGATCTCTTCTAGATAGTTTTGATGCTCCCAACATTCTAACACGATTTGTTTTGGGGAACAAATTGTGGTGTGTTGTTTTTTGATTGTCGTTGAAACATGTTGAATTAATTTTATGCTTCTATATTTTTTATTGATTTTGATTTTAATTGAATCGATTATGTATCATACATGCAGAAGTAGCGGTAACAATAATAACTGCATTTTTTTTATTACTAGTGCTATGGTGAATTGGCTTGGTTAGAGGCTTAATTCGAACTTAAACTGAGACAAGCGTGGATAAGATTGAACTAGCTCAAGATCATCAAAATCTATACACATTTGAATTAATGCATATAATTATATATTTATGTTTGTAATTGAATTTAAATTGCTGTATATATGTATTCTTGAATTCATATATATATTGATAATGCTGAACTAAGTATTTGCCGCAAGAGATTGAAAGTAGATGAAATTCAAATTATTATTAGTTTTTCTATTCGAATCGAGCTCAGTCTAAAATTAATAAGCATGTTTGACTCAAAAACGAGTTCGAATCAAACAAACTTTTTATGTAACTTGGCTTAACTTGAGATCATTTTGAATTCAGATTGGATCAAATGAGTTGGAGCTAATTTTTAACTGGGGTTGGATTGACTCAATATCAAACTTTTAACAACCATTGCCTTTGATCAACTTGAAAACAAGCACTTCTAATAAATAAAATTATGATTAAAGCCTTCAAGAAGATATTTCTGAGTTGGGTTCCGTTGATTGTTGTTTTTAACTAATTATTTATTTTTTGGTTCAATGATAATGCTATATGGATATTGAATGATTGCTGGTCTAATCAAATGAATTAGGAGGGACCAATAAGTATTAATTTCTTTTTAATATTAAATAATACCCTTGATGTTGATGGCATTAAAAGGCTATACTTTGTGATTTTTATATACAAATCACTTTTTGTTGACAAGATGCACCAGCATTCTCTCTGAACATTGAATGTCTATATGCCATTATTTTAAGAAATCTTTCAAATTATCTTTTGATAATGTTTGTCCCGTATTGCTAATATGCATGTTTTTATGCTAATAGGTACAGTTTTTGCTTACGGCCAAACAAGTAGCGGCAAGACTTATACCATGAGAGGATCTGAGGAAGAACCGGGGATCATCCCGCTTTCTGTGCATGAGTTATTTTGCAGTATTCAAGAGGTAGCTTTTTATTTATTTCTCCTCAAAATAGTTATAGATTTTCTCCTTAATTCCTTTTGATTGTAGTGCTAATGTTATCTTTAAATTGCTGTAACTACGTCATTTTACTTTCATTTTTCAGCCCTACAGTAGAATTTGTTCATTTTTATATTTTTGGAATAATTAAATACTTCTAACTTACTGCCATAAAATACGTTTAATATGCTAATCCACATGGCCAGGGTTTCTTGTTGCAAGTTTTTTTAAACTCATCTAAGCTTTAAAGGTGGATGATGATGAATGAATGATACTTGACTATCTTTGATGAGGAGCAAAATGAATGAATATGATTGCATGGAAATTGATGAAAGAAAATTGCAACAAGGATTGTGAATATTAAGAGGAAGATGAGAACAGGATGAAGTGTAGCTCCTGATATATAATTTGGAGCGTTAAACATTTGTAACTTGGATTAGAAGAGAATAGCATTTGTAATTGGCCTCATCAATCATTTTAATCTTTAGTAATTTTACAATTTTACAAATAATTCTATTTATAAAATAAATTCAATAAGATAAAGGATTAAATTATCCCTATCCAAATTACCTAAAAGAAGTTCATTTTTATTCTTATTGCATTTAATCCAAATTTAAAAAAAAATTTAAAAAAGGCCTACTAGAAAATTAGGTCAAAATATGAGGTAGTCTTGAAACATATGGAAATAGTAAACATTAACCCTTTTATAGCAAGTGTTGATCGCCACAAGTCAACCTGATTGAATAGGATGATAATGGTAAAAATTGTACACAATTTTGTTTGAAAAAACTTGGAATATCCAATTTTTATATAAAGGAATGCTCATATATTAACCATTTTGTCAAACTCCCCAACATATGAGTTATGACACAAGAAAATAACTTGTATATTCTCTCTCTCTCTCTCTCTCTATATATATATATATATATATATATTGAAAAATGGCTGGGTCGACAAACTGATGTGCCCTTTTGGGTGATGGTACTTTAAAGCACACTAGCATCCTTTATTTAATAAAAAAATGAAATTTGAGGCCAGCTACAACTCCCTCTGAGACACCAGGGTCGACAAACTGATGTGCCCTTTTGGGTGATGGTACTTTAAAGCACACTAGCATCCTTTATTTAATAAAAAAATGAAATTTGAGGCCAGCTACAACTCCCTCTGAGACACCATTATCCATGCTCCTGCCCCATATTAAACTATAAAAGTTTTATGAATTTCCTCAATTTCTCTCCCCTTCTTTATTTTGCCAAAGTTTCTCTACAACTATGTACTTCTTTTTAGCACACAATATTCACTTTCCCTCCATTTGCTGATACTAGAGTTAACCCAAATCACAACTTAGATGCAACAAATTTTATTGTTGAACTTTAAACGAGTAGAAGGACGACTCTTTATCAACATTAAACATAAACAGTAAATGCAAATAACATAAAAATAATAACAAAACAATACTTAAACAGTGAATTAAATAACGATTGCAGAAAATAAACTAAGCACGAAACAAAAAATAGTCCTGGAAGGTGCTGGTAGATTGCTGAAGGTCCGTATGAAGGGGATGCAGAGGGTTCGACGATGACTAGAGGGATGCTAGATGAATATTCAGCTTTAGGGTGTGGCAGAGAGCAGGTTGTGGATGGTCAACAGAGGTAGGAGGGGTGTTGGAGGGTCCTATATGTGCGATGCTTTGTTGGGGAAAGGTTCGGAGTCGCGATAGCCTGTTGGGGAAAGGCTGGGAGGCACAGTGGCCTACTGGGGGAGGCTGTGAGGCCCGACAAAGGAAGGGGATGGCGTATGGGTTGGTGCAGCAGCTTGGGAGGGAGGTGTGGCTTGTCAGTACAACTGGAGGAAGCCTGGTGGGAGGCTGAACCACTTGCTGGAGGAGTTGGGAGGGCGGCAACGACGAAGGGTGATGCTGAGTGGTTGGAACGGAGAGGGGATACGCACCACCTTTGCGGGATACAATTGAAGCACCACTTCATCAAAGGATACAACCTCGAAGGAGAGGCCTGAAAAATCACCTGAAACATAAAAATAAACAACAATGATAACTCTTTAGATCTAAGAAAAAGAACATAAGTAGGAAAGAAGGGAGACATCCAAGGTAAGATCCTAGGAAGGAAGAAGGGAAAAATGGAAGGGATTGTAGAGATGATTGCAACGACTGGTAGACGCGGAAGAATAGGACATAAGGGTGAAGCAGAGTGAACTAGGCACAGGAGGAGAAGGGCAATTGTAATAATGGAATGGAACAGTCCGATCCAACGTGTAGGCTTGACCGACTTCTTGTTGCGCCCGACCTGACGGGCTGAAGCAGCCTCGCGTCAATCTCCTAGGATTGGGGGAGCTTCAACATCATTTGTCGAAGCTTGTGGTTCTTCATAGTATTGGGTGAGATCCGCGAGACTCAATGTTGCCGAGATTTTAGAGTCACTCGGTAGGTAAATTTTTTAGGCATGGTCATTTAGCTTTTAGTATGCGAAAAGGTTCATCGACCTTGGGCTTGAGTTTCTCGTGTGCTCGAAATCGCTCTCTTAAGGTGGATCCACACGAGATTTCATTCTTTAAAGATATTCTTTTTTTGGGACTTGTTATTTTGCGTTTGATCTTGTGATTTTGCTTAGAAATTGCTTTTCTCAGCTTCCTTGTGGAGTAGTTGAATTGGTAAGCACGTTTGATAACATCTTCACTATTCTCTTATGGGTGTAGAAGTGAGACTAAGTCAGTTGGACCACTCCCAATTTTGAATGACATGTCCTGTGGTTTGGCTTGTTAATCGATTGTAGACCGATTTGGTTTGAGCGAGATTAAGATCTCATTGTTTAATGTTTTTCCTTATGAAACATCGAAGAAGATTCCCAAGCCTCTTATTAACTACTTCAGCCCGACCATTTGTCTTAGGATGTGAGGCAGAGCTAAATTTGAGTTTGGTGCCCAATTTGCTTTAGAGGGTCCGTCAGAAGTGGCTCAAAATTCTAATGTCCCGATCGGAAGCGATGGTCTTGGGAATTCCTTGAAGTCGTACGATCTCGCGGAAATATAAATTGACAATGTGAGATGTCTCTAGCGTTCGGTGGCATGTCACGAAATGTGCCGTCTTTGAGAAACGGTTGACGACCACCATCACAGAGACTTTGTTTCTTTGTCTGCGGGGAAGTCCTACCACGAGGTCCTTGCTGCATCGACCCATGGCGCCGCGGGTGCTGGTAAAGGAGTGTACAATCCCGTAATTTACTAATCTGCCCACTGGTTTTGGCGATATGACAAATCCTACACTGTCGACTGATCCATATCTCTCGTCAGGCGGGGCCAAAATAAGTGTTCTCTCGTGAGTGCAAGTCTCATCCCTACCAAAATGACTGGCCAATCCGCTATTGTGGTTTTCCTGAATGATGAATTCTTGCAGTGAGCATCAGGGAATGCATAATTTATTATGGTGGAACATGTAGCCATCCGTTTGGTAGTACGACCAGCTAGGTTTCTCCCAACATTGTCCCAGATTTCCTACAAGTCATCTGTCTCGTATTAGTCATTTATAATCTCAAAACCTACTATGTGAGTTTGTATGGATGTGAGCAGTAGGTGACGACGACTCAGAGCATTTTCCACACGATTCTGACTCCCAACTTTGTTTTTAAGCATAAACTAGAAGGAAGGTAAGAATTTTAGGTGGAGGGTCACCCTTTTAGTTTATTCTGTATGTTTACAAATTTTAAAGCTTCATGATTCGTGAAGAGGGTGAACTCGGTTATCAACAGGTAATGACTCAAGCGCTCCAGAGCTCTAACAATGGCATAAAACACTTTTTCGTAGGTGAAATATTTTCATCAAGTATGATTTAGTTTTTACCGTGCACGTGATGTGAAAGATGCCGTGCCAGAGCCATGAGAGATCTCTTTTTGGTTCGAATTGCATAATTCTCCGTATGAACAACATTTCTCCTTTGTCTCTTGGAAGTTGAAGCGCTTCTTCCGAACTATTTTCTGATTCAGGTTCCTCTAGTTCCTTGACGATGCCGTCTTCAGTGAAGGTTGTGGGATAGTTGGCGATGATGCGGCCCTAACCGTGACACTTAAAACACTTTCGTGCGGGAACAATCCCGCATGAACTACCCTTTTCTAGCTTCGTGTCATTTGAAGTGGTTTTTCTCGTCTCTCGGTGTAGTTTTGCCAGCTCCAGAAGTGGTCATGTTGGTAGGGTTTGCTATGGGGGATTGCTTGAAGGTCGGTTGCTGTCAAAAGGTTGACCGGACCTAAGCTGCCTTTGTTGTCGTTCTACCTTTAATGCTAGGGTCTGGATATCACCCAACGGCTAGTAAGACTATAGTTGAACGACGTTGCTAATGGCGGGTTTTAAGCCTCAGAAATAGTGGGCAATCGCGTGCTTCTCTTGCTCGACAAATTCACACTTCATTTGTAATTGGTTGAACTTTGCTGTGAATTTCTCGACCTAAAATTCTCGTTATTATAGGTTGTGAAGCTGGTGAACGTATCCTGATGGTAGCGAGGTGACAGGTACTTTTTCTACACCATTTTCTTCATTTTTGCCCATTGGGTGATTTTTTCGTTTCCATCTCATTTATGTTGCTGCTACAGATTTCCCCACCATAATGAGGTCTTTTTCTTCAATTTAATAGTTGCAAGTTTAATTCATTTTTCATCGGGGACTTCCTTGTATTTGAAGATGCGTTCAACTGCTTGTAACCTGTCGATGAAGTCGCCGGGATTCATGTTTCCTCAAACTCTGGTATGTCTGTTGTTGCCGTAATCTCGCTGGCTGAATGCCGAAGCGACTTTTTCAATATTCATCTTCGTTAACGTCTTCATGGTGAAACAAATTCTTATCGTTTTCGTGGTCTCCTCTTCGACTCTTGTTGTCACGGTTGAGGGTAATGTCGACGTGAGTCTCGTCTCCTAGCTCAGCCAATCGTTGTTGCAAGCAGCGAATCTCTCATTGTATTTCTTCCCGGGTTAGGTCTGATG